ATTAAAAGTATGTAACTAATCCTGTGTATATGCTTACAGAGATTTCGTGTTTTGGAATTTGTGTCAGATTCAATATAAAAATCCAAATGTGCAAGTTGTAACCTTTAAGAACATGACACCATCGCCGTTCGTGCGTTGCTACTTTGAGGATGGCCGTGATATGCTGGTCGATATTGATAGCCGGAATCGCGACGAAATTATTGATCATCTTTGTAAAGTTGTCGGCAAATCAAAGTGAGTGTTAAGGTTTTTTGGATTCTAACAATATCACACATTGCAGAAACAAATCATCTAACCGCTTTCTTTTAACATTCCAGAGCTCAGTTGGATGCCGAGGCACATTTAGCGGAGAGTAAAGACAATCCCGCCAACTTTGGTTATGGCTGTGACCGACACTGCATCTGCGAAATAATGGGACAAGTTCCTTGCCCTGGCACTGTCAAACTTCCGGATCATCTGCGCGGAAAACATATCTTTGCACCAAAGTGAAACAAAAGAAGTAATTTTATACGCCTAGCCGTTTCTAGTTCTTAATTCAATAAAAAAAATACATTGTTGTTTACGCATAAATCACTTTATTTGGCTTAAATCTCTGAACACAACATTTGATAAGTATACGTGCACATAGCGCGCATATGAGTATAATTATAAATATTTGATGAAGTTGATGGTAGTCCAGATTCATTAATAAATACATATAAAACACTTAATACAACTTAAAGTTAATAAATTTTCTATCTTCGTTTTGGTCGCTGGTGTCGATTATAGGGCGTAGAATTATATGACTTGGTGTATGTGCGCCCACTTGAGGTACTGCTGCTTGCATCGCGGTCTTTGTTGAATTGATAACGTTGTATGAATGGCACTTGTGAGCTAGCTGAGTTCAAAATATTCAACTCTAACTCTTCCTCACCATTACGTTCAAGTGACCGCAATTTGGCTTCTATTACGCGTATCGCTTCCTCTTTGCTCATTTTATCATCGCGGGAACTAGCCCCCAATGCTGGTATTTCAAGGCGAGGTTTTTGTTTGTTGAGTTCATCCTAAGAGGGAAAAGGCACGCATGGCGTGGACATGTTAATAAAAAAATAGAAGTGATGTGCGTGTCATTCTATATATTATAACGTCTACACACTTACGTAATTAACATTTTTCGCCAGTCGTATCACAATTGGTCGATTCGCTACAGGTGTGCCATTTAATTTCTCCAAAGCTATTAACGCCGCGTCAGCCTGCTCATAATACATATTCATTAAACGCGCATACTAAGAAGGATGAGAATATACTCACCGTTCCGAAAGTAACAAAGGCATAGCCGCGCGATTGCCCAACCATTGGGCCGCTCTTGTGGAAGAGCATATCAAACTTTTCGACAGGACCGCATTTTTGCAAAATTTTCAAGAGTTGATACCAATAATAGCAACACAAGAAAAGAAAATTGACAGATTAGTTTAGCTACACATATTATATGAAAACTAAAAGATATTTATGCTTTATTAACTTACTCGGTGAGTCGTGGATCTAAATTGCCAACCCATATGCGACGCTCTTCCAGCACACCACCGCTACCACTGCAGCAACTTTTTCCACTACCCGTCGTTGCCTGAAA